AGGCATAAAAGAGGTCATGCATGCACATATACAAACATGATTCTTGGACTAGAATGTGGTCCTAGATGATGTCAAATCATGAGGATGATTACAACCATGCATGCTAGAGGTCAACATGCTCAAAGCTTTCAAGCCAAAATACAAAGCAACCCTAACAAACATGTCAAGCATGACCAAATGGATAACCAACAGACTTTAAGCATGGAAAAACAATACTAAAAGCTTCATGGAACCAAGCCAACACACACAAGAATCATGGCCTAATCATGAGATGCACTTCTAAGCAAAATGGAGCAATACAAAGCAAGTATTACAAGCATACAAGGAGGCATAAATCCAGCCAAAAACAGAGATCCTACATGACCTAAAAACACCCAAAAAGTTCTGAAATGAAGCAAAAACCAAGCAAGCATGCATGTCACCCTTTTGGGCCACAACTCAAGGAAACAAAACCAAGAAGGAAGAGGGGTGTCCCTTCCCTATGCAAGACTTCAAACCCCTTTTTTTTACACTAAAATACACTGATTTTTAGTGATCAAAGGACCAAAACACTGAAGTGAACAAAACCTTATCAAAGAGGCACCAAAATGGACCAAACAAGGCCTAGAAGGGTGAGTTTGCACTCAAACCACAAAATGACCTTAATGAAAGTGCTAGAGCAGGAAAATACAAGCCCTTTTTATGTTATACACAAGAGCTAAAACAGTAAGCACGATAGGTAAAAAAACTATTGCAAGTTTGGGGAATATAAATCAAGATGCTCACCCTTGAAGAACCTTCGAAGAAAAAAGCAAGATGCTCACCCTTGAAGAAGCCTTGAAGAACAAATGGTCTAGCCCTCTTCTTTTGATCAAAACCAGTCCAAAAACTCAAGAAACAACCCCCAAGTCCCTCAATCTTGGAGTAAGGTGTAATGGTGTGTGTAATGGTGCAAAAGTAAGGTAAAAACCACCTTTTGAGCTAAGAAACACACACAAACGAGGAGAGAGAGGGAGGTATAGAGATAATATGTATCTATATCTCCAAGGTCTGGTTTTTGGTTACAAGAGTGTAACCTAGATCAAAGAGGAAGGCCCTCCTCTTATAAGACTCCCTCTTGCAAAGCTTATTCAACAAGCTTGCTTAGAGGGAGATCCCTCCATACACGTGTATGGAGGGGGGAAGAGTTGGTGCCAGCTATCACAGCTGGCACAAAATATCTCCATAAAGTGTACACGTGTATGGAGGGGAAAGGAGTTGGTGCCAGCTATCACAGCTGGCACAAAATATCTCCAAAAAGTGGAGGAACAGTGGTCGGCTGCCCAAAAAAGCTATTCCGGCAAAAAACAGTGCCGACCGGCAACATATTATGCCGACCGGCAATACAGTGTGCCGACCGGCAAACAAAATTGCCGATGGAAGAAAAAGACCAGCCGGTGGCCTCCAGCCACTGCCGGTGGTGTATGGGGATGTCTCACAAGGCATTCCCTGCCCCTCTAAGGCAAAACAAAAGTGTTTGGTGCAAAACCAGACACTAAACAGCCGAGTTCGGGGATCCTGAGGCAAGGCGCGCGAGCCGAGGCCTCCGGGAACTCCAAACGAACACAAACATGGATGATCACCGAGTGTTCAAACGGTGACGTCCAAGTCTTGAGGACGGTCAAAAATGGGGTGTCTACATACACTTTTCCAATACTCATGCCAATTTACCAGACACCTGCTGGAAGGTAATGGTACCTCGGCCAAGTTCTTCAGGTGCTAGCTAGAAGGTACTGGTACCCCGCATTCTCCGTGCAACCAATTCTCTAGGCTAGCTAGAAGGTAATGGTACCCTTTATTCTCAGTGCGTGCAAATTTCCAACCATCACATAATTCAACAAACAAACATAATTCGAGTGTCCTATATACACAAAATCTATTCAACATCGCAATGTCATCCTCCACCGATGACCAAGGACAAAACCTCTAAGTAATAATGTTTAAACACACGAAAGACGATAATCCGATGCTTACTTGACCTTAAGTCCAA